GAGGCGAATCTGAGAACCAACAAATTAAATTGGTGTGGCCTTAGCTGAAGTTTATTTTCCAGATGATTCTTTGAAATGTATGACCAATCCTCCTATCTTTTAAAGTATCCCCCGATGGCATTTCCATTTGAAGATTTCTGTTTATAGTACAACATTATAGCTTGTAGGCTTCAGTAAATTATGGAGTTAAGTTCCCACGAGGGATTTGATTTTCTGTATAGCTATCATATGCTCACATACACAGTAGGAATAGTAGCACAATGTTATAGTAATCAATCATTGGAACTTCTCAGATTATTCCCTCAGGCTTGATACCATTTCGCACAGGAAGGCAGATGTTTAAAAACTTTTTTTTATGATTGCACGATCCAGCAATGGTTGGAAAAGAGTAGCTGTAAGATCTCAAGTATGATTTCAAGTCTATAGCTGCAGGAATATGTAACTCGAACAGCCAGAATTTCCCAAGAAAATCACTCGGGGGACCAATAAAATAGTGTCAATGTGGACAGGTAGTTACTATAGATAAGATCTTAATATCTAAGGGACCACCAGAAGCTTTAAAGTGTTCACATTGTCCAGGTGGTCCTTATGTAGAGTTGGTCACTTGTACAGGTTTGACTGTATGTGTATGTGGTTTAGGATCAGTTTTTTTCTGTCATACATAACTTATAGGTAACCATGTGTACTGTAATTTTTATTTGGGATGACATTTTGTTTTTGATCTAAATTACATCTCTGCAATGTGAAAAATCTTTTCCTTCCAGAGATGTGACAGAAAGCGATATAGCATCCTTCCTGAATTCCAATATAGCAGCTATTCATGCATCACTGATGCAGGTCTGGAGATTTATTTCTTTGCTGATGTGTAGAGGCACATGTATCACTGTCATCATGTAAAAGTATGGCCTACTAAAATACATTGGTGCATGATTGTATAAAACTAGTAGGAGTAGGCATCCTTTCCATCTCAAAATAAAACTACTGGTACATTGATTATATGTAATTTCATCAAACACACACGCACACACACACACACGCACGCACGCGCATGCAGGCACGCACACACACACACACACACACACACACACACACACACACACACACACACACACGCACACACACACACACACACACACACACACACACACACACACACACACACACACACACACACACACACACACACACACACACACACACACACACACACACAGTACACACACACACACACACACACTGAAACAAATCCACTGTGCATGAAGCTAATTTTGATTATGCAAGGCAGGTAGCCACAGATGATTTTGTTTTTACCTGAGTTCAGTTGCTGGGCACAGGTATGATTTAGAGTCTGCATCCACAGAACAAGTAAATGTCAGTGTATGTCAACAACCTCTAGTACGTAACCCCGCTCTCGAACCCTTGGAGCATATCACCCAGACTGTGTGAGTGCCTCATCCATAACCACTCTCAACCTCCAAATGCCAGGAGAGCCAAGTAATTCGCTTTTTCTCATATAATCCTGATGAACTGTAAGTGCACCACGGTGATGCGACATTTATCAAGACCTGGGAGGGAAACCTGGAATAAATGGCAAAGGTATTGGGTATTTCTTGAACACAGAGGTACTGTATACAAGAAGTGTAGGATTGGTGTTTCTTAAACAGCTTGCAGTTTAAAGATGCAACATTCCTTTGAGCAAGAAACATTTCGGTGCACATGCAACAACCATAAATCAAAGTCTCTGTCAATCCAGTTTTAATGTTAACATACAGAACTCTGCTGAATGGTGAAGTTAACAAACTCGAATCCCATCATGTTGTCTCTCCCTAAACGATGTACTTAAAGATGCAACATTTCTTTGAGCAAGAAATATTTCAGTGCACATGCAACAACCATAAATCTCTGTCAATCCAGTTTTAATGTTAACATGCAGAACTCTGCTGAATGGTGAAGTCAACAAACTCGAATCCCGTCATATTGTCTCTCCCTAAATGATGTACTTAAAGATGCAACATTTCTTTGAGCAAGAAATATTCAGTGCACACGCAACAACCATATATCTCAGTCTCTATCAATCCAGTCTTCATGTTAACATACAGAACTCTGCTGAATGGTGAAGTTAAACTCGAATCCCGTCATGTTGTCTCTCCCTAAACGATGTACTTAAAGATGTGACATTTCTTTGAGCAAGAAATATTTCAGTGCACAGTCATGCAACAACCATAAATCAAAGTCTCTGTCTATCATATATTTTAATGTGAACATACAGAACCCTGCTGAATGGTGAAGTTAACAAACTCGAATCCCGTCATGTTGTACTTTACTGCAATCACTGCACAGAGTTATGTTTCCACTAAGAGAATGTGTTTGTCAGCAAACGTGACCTGCAGGAAGAGCGATGTCGTAGTTACCAATGTCACGATGAAGACAGATAGCAGGAGGGAAGACAGCCGCAAGTCCAGATAAGGAGACCAAATTGGTTTGCCAAGGAAATCAAGTTAGGATAGATTGCGAGGCGTGACCTTTTTCTCGAGAATTCCAAACAGGGCGAAGCAATCTTCCAAAATAATGAAGGCAGATACAGCATAAATAACCTATTAGGAGGAAAACTGAGTGAAGGAGAAGAGGTCCTGAGGTGGAAGATGCATGGAGATAGAAGGTTATTATCTACCAGCTCTGCAGGGAAATATCTCCGCTGTAATATCAGACAACTTCACAGGAACTGTGCCGCTTGGTTCTCACTAATATCTTTTGAATGGTCTCCTATTTCTGGGAGTCTAGGACTAGAGGATTGGGTGGTGTATTACTTGTACAGTGTTGAATGCACAAACATTTTTCCCCTGCAGTAGTTTGATTGGTTTTCATTCAGACAGCACGAGTGTGTACATGTTTCTTTGTTTGTGCAATGTGTAGAGAGATATTAAGATATTCAGAGATATTCAGTTCCACTGATTGTACACCCTTTACCTGTAGTTTTGTTTTTGGTGTGTTCATGATCACCAGTCCTGTAGTTTTGTTTACAGTGTGTCTGTTTGTGTATTAATGCATGTGCTTATCATTTCCACATCCTATACATGTTGGAGACACAGACAGATACATGTACATGTAGATCCAAGAAAGGTCAAAGAAAAAAGTTAACTCAATCAGAAGTCTAATCCTTATGTAACCGTCTGAGTGATAATTAAGAAGAGAATTACTATTGTGTTCCAATTACACCAGTCAGACAGATACATGTAGATCCAGACATGGAGACACAGACAGATATAGATCCAAGAAAGGTCCAAGAAAAAAGTTGTCTCAATCAGAAGAAATCTAATCTCTTCTGTAACTGTCTAAGTTATAATTAAGAAGAGAATTGCTATCGTGTTCCAATTACAGACAGTCAGATGTACTGGTGGGGCATAGGTTCAACATTGCAGATGCAGTTCCTTCTAAATCTGCTAGGGTCACTCATCACAAGCAGAGCAGCAGCCATTCAGTCAATGAGTTTTTCCCAATATCTTTTCTGTACACACTGCAAAGTATTTGGCAAAGCTGAAGTGGGTTATATTTGCTTGAAATGCTGGAATCCATTGTGGAATGGTTTGCTGCCTTGGATGCAGTATTGTGGATCAATAAAACAACCAGGGATTTCTACGCCCCTACAGGGCTGTCCATGCCAATTGTCTCACAAGGCCTACGAAAAAAAATGTTGTGTTTCCTGTTCCCGACCGACCGTAGGAAAACCTGCTGACCCTAGACTTTTTTTGTGTGGACCCCTGCAAGGGCCTTCAATCGAGCTGATCAACCTTTTCTAGCTCCATGATCTGACACCTGAGTGATGAAACGTTGTACAATCGGTTTACTCACATTGACAATGAAAATTAAAGTGTCCTCATGCAAGTTTTACTTTGTTAAACTGTATTGTACATGAATAAGATTTCCACCAATATAGATATCACTGAAGTCTAAAAAAAGAAAAGAAAAGAAAAAAAGAAAATCCCTACCTACCGACCCTAACTTTTTCAGGACTGAAACAGGAAACACAACATTTTTTTCCTAGGCCTAAGGCTTTTAGAGAATATGACTGGCTCACAGAGCAGCCCTCTGGAACCATGACATATCGGCCTGTCTAACATTGGATCAGTCCATCGATTCTCAGAACCCATTGACCTCCATGGTTCAAGGTCAAAGAATTCTCACCCCATTGTTGAAGTGCTTTGACCTGTAAGCTGTGAACTTGACCTCTGACTTGTAATTGAAAGAACGGACATTGTTGCAATGTTTTTGGTGACAGATAATGCAATTGTTCTCGACACCCAACATCCAGCTATAACAACTTCAAAGTCTTATAGTATTACAAAGACAACTCAAACTCTACTACTGGATAAATAACAGAGATAACTTCCGGATGTTTTAATAGTGTGACGGATCTCCATTATTTATCCAGTAGTAGAGTTTGAATTGTCTTTGAATAAAGTCTTATACAATTTGGAAAGGTATGTGGATAGCTAGTAAATCACTCAGGACCACAAGTTCTTTGCATACAACCATTTAGAAAAACAACGTTTGGTTGAGTGCAAGAACTTTGTGGACCTGTTTGAAAAGGTTTTAGTATTCAGATGTCATACCTGCACTCGTGCCAAGTGTAATGAAGTGACCATAGATCAATGGGATGAAATGTTCTCCAAATTAAGTATTTATCCCAAGCACAGATAACTTTGTAGTTCCCCGTGGTAATTTCTCACTTCCTGATTGCCCACCCAAGACTCATTCTGTCTGCTCTTAAGAAATCGACTTCTTATTCCTAAGTTTGTATCGATCACCAATCCTGGCTACTAGTAATTTGAAGGCCAAACCCTTGGTAAAGTCTTAGTGTGACTCTGTGGACTGTTTTATTGGCCTACAGCACCTGCACATCCCCCTAAGGTGGCTCCTAATGGCCGTGCGATCCCAGAGACCCTAAATTAACATCATTTCTTGTTATTACCGTTCTCTGCAGGTTTCCGCTCGGGAGCAAAGTCAACGCACAGAGGTATGTTTGATGTTTGTTTTATTTGAAATCCATTAGAGTAGATATCAACATCTATCTAATCTATTCTTCCTGGATTCAATAGAATTACAAATTCACAATATACGTAATTACAAATTAAGAAGACATTCATGAAACTTTAACTAGCATACAACTATGTGAGTTAAGGTACAACTACAGAGGATTAAACAATAGCAAAGACATAGCAACACACAATACTTAAAAGGATCGCTTTTTTGAGGTAGCTTGCCATGTGTTCACTGATCCTGAAAAGTCAGCCGTGATGTCTGCTGCTCTGTCTTTGCTGTGATCTCATTGACATCTTGGAAAGTTGTGATAACAAAGTTAAGACCAGTCACAGAGGCTGGGCCAGATATACTGTATAATAATTATGTCATTGAAGTTGCCCATAGTCGTAATGGATTCAAGAACTTGCAAACTAAATGATGATAATCTGCTGCCAGGTTATGAATGTTTTTACCGACAGTTTTTTAAACACTTAGCTAGGTTGTCTACAGGATAACAAAATTTAACATACAATAGTAATTGATATGAATGGATTTTCAACATTTTTTGGTTTGTATAGACCCTGGGCATTTAAATTTGGAAAATGTTTTGAATCTAGATTCAATTGTCAATTTTTTTTTAAAAGACAGTTGAAATAGAAATTCTAATAGCATAATCATGCATACACTGTATAATAGTGACTGGCAAAGAACCATAAAAAAGATTGCATCATTCAGATGCAAATATTTCCATGATTCTGCATAGTAAGAACTTATATACTAGTCGCTAGGATTTTTTTTTGCAAGTTTGAATATCCCGTTCAGAAAACAACTGAGAAATTCAGCTAAAAACGTAACGTTCTTACAGCAGCAGCTGGTTTGTAGATTGCCAGATACATGTACAACAACCCCCCACCCATTGAATTTGCTGACTATCTTATATCTAACATTATATGCTGGCGGACTGCACACCCAGATATAGCCTGTGCAGTAAACCTCTGGTCGCCCTAATGTTTCTGAGGATCATGTCCCCCGGCTGTAACCTGCGTGTGTGCGGAGAGACAATCCTCGCGCTGATGGCCCTGCACGGTTCACTACTCCTTCTTTAATGCTGACCAATCAGGCAGCTGGGTGGTTGTAAGGCCACAGCAAGTAAATTTTATGGATGACATCCTCCGCAGACTCCATATCTAATGCGAGCGGCCAAAAAAAACAAGACGGGCCGAAAAAAAACAAGGTTCCTACATTTTAAATTTTGACTCAATCATTGTACAAATGGTTTTGATTCAGTAGGAACATCACATATACACAGCCAGCATCACATGTCATCAAAGCAAGAAACAAATTTAAACATTAATTCAGAGCCTTTTCTTGTCTCCTTTCTTTATAGTTATCTGCCATCCACCTTCTGGCATGGCAACAGACATCTTTGCCCATTTTCGACATGTTAACCACTGTCAAAGGGCAACAAAATTTCTTGTTTTTTTTCCAAAATCAGGAAAAAATTAATGCGCTCTGATGTCATCCATAAGAATTACTTGCTGTGGCCTAACATAGAGAGATGGGCTATCAAGCCAGCCCCGGTGACACCAGTTCTTCAGTGCACTCCACATCTCCTTAGGAACAAATGGGAAAATCGATGGATGTCCCCCGGTAGTTTATGCCGATGATAGAAAGTGATTACCACGTTTTATTGTCTGCGAAGGTCCCAAGACACTTCTGCTGCGCTGCTTGTAAGCACAGCTCAGCTTCTTCAAGAAATTTGGAAAGCCTTGGAGATTTTTCTTAAAGATTCGTAGCCAAGTTGTTTTTTTAAGGCATTCAAATGTATCTGTGTGGAAAATCCTTTAAGCAGCTGAGGGAAGGTGAAGGACTAGAATCATTATTTAAAGGCATCCAGTGCACTTTTTAGGGTTTGGAAACACGATTTTTCAAAGTCTATATTCTAGACAAGTTATTTATCTAGTACATACTAAGTTGAAACAACACTATCCCTCATGGTGCAAAAATTCCCGAAATTCTTACAGACAATGGTTACTGGAAGGGCCCTGGACTCATTTTTAGGGTATCACCCAGAAAATAAAAGACTCGTTCCTGGCTTGTTCCTGCAGTTTTAAATGCCTAAAGTCTGAAATGCTGACTCAAACTGTAAGTGTCAATATCACAAAGATTGCCTCATAAGAAAATCTTCAGTTTTGCTGCCTTGAAATCACATTGGATGCATTTAAATGATAGCACACACGTCTGAAGCAGTTTTGCCAAAACACTCATTCAAATGTCAAAAGTAAGAAAACACCAGTCTGAAAATCTTAATAATATAATTATTATCTATTTTATTAAATTTTTCTTTTTTTTTCGTTTTTTTGTTTGACCACTGCCTGAAATGTACATTTTGTAAATAGAAGCTAATATACTACAGTATTAGAATTTCATGTTATCAAGGAACAGTCACAAATAATGTGATCAACGTTCACTCTTTTTTGCCTTTTTCCAGAAATAATAATTATTACAAACCATATGCCACATATGTTTTGTAATGTGCAGTGTCAGACATTTTCTACCATCTTCTCCTACATGTAAATCTGGTTCCACAAGATCCTCCATCCTGCTGGAAGACTCCATAACTCCAGATCGTAGATAAAATAATTCATTGCCTCCCTGCCTCAAATGTGTCCCAGAATGGGAAATGTGGCACGCACAACTACAGCAGAGAACACCAGGAGGGGCATTAAGAGTGGCACATAAAAATTGCGGAGCCGAAAAAGCCACGGGCGAAAAGCCATGGGAGTGTCATCTACCAAACACTGCAGCCTGTGTTATCTTTCTCCACAGACACATTTTGCAATAATCGTTTTCCCGAGTTCCCTCAATCATTTGTGAAGATACAAAACACTGAAGGAAAACTGAGTGATGAAACAAATTTCTCCCTGGAATGCTGTTTATGACTCTGATAAAGCAAGGAGGTTCAAAATCTTGTATTCAACCTCCTTGGATAAAGTAATAAGTAAAATGAAATATATTTACACACATCCTGAAGGTTTTGCTATCTGATGGAATTCATATTATGAACACTTGGCAATGGGATGATTTGCCTGTCAGACAAAACAGTGATAATGCTGGAACTGTGATACCTTGATAAGCTATTGCTTCAAGTCATGAATGAGAAAAAAAAGGATCCATGCATCATAATGCCCATTACATCCTGACCTATCATCAAATCAAAAAGATAGCTGTTCTTGTAAGATGGCTCATTCCTTTATTTGGCTTTTCCATAACAAGATGGAGGGGGAGACAAAACAGGTGATTTCTCACCTCTTCACGTTGTCTCTTTTTTTTTTTTTTAGTTTAGTTTTTATTCGCACTTTAAAACAAAATGTAACAATGCAATGTTCACATTTGTACTAATTGCAGATTCTCCCCAAGTTAAAATTAAGCTTCAATGTTGCTTTCAACTATCAGGCAGAAGCACTTTCTGAGGATTTTGTAAATAGCTCTCAAATTGCTGGGATGTAAAATACATATTCATAACATCATTCAGTCAAATCTGGCAAAATCTGTTGGTTTACAAAGCATTACATTTGCATGTACATGTACACCTCCCTGCTGCCTAACAGTGTGTAAACACTTGATTCAAACCTGTTGAGGTACATGTAGCACCTTTGAAATTTTTCAAAATACTGGCCAACGTGGACATGAAAAATTCCAGCTTTGGCAGTTTTAGTTACTGTTTAAATGCAATATACATACTGTAGATTTGGTCACAAGGTGCTATGACATTCAGAGAGCATATTTTACACTTATGAGCTGAAACTGTGGTATATGCAAAGAATTATGTAGAAACATTGCCAGTTAAGAACTGAAAATTACTGTAACAGTAAATCAAAGATTTGAACCTTAGTTTAATACAATTTTTTTCCTTGACAATCATTTTCAGGTACATCCAACAATACAAGGACCTGTTCACAGAGGAGGGACGTCGATCGGTGAAGATAGCCCACATCATCCCTGGCCAGCCGCCCCAGATCACCCACACACAGACCCCCAACCCCAACACCCCCACGCAGATAGTCTTTCCCGGAGGGGGACAGGGTTTACTCACTCCGACGGGATCTACCATCTCTCCTGGAGGGGGGACGCAGGTAGAAAACACATTGAAATATGAACTGAATGTCTCCTTCATCTTTGGTTTTTTATTAGATCCTTACCATAGTCTTTTTTAGTCAACATCCTTCACTGTATATTGCCATAGATCCTTAGCAAGCATGTTTCAATACCTGTACATAGACTAGAATGTCATGTAGTTTTGAAATTATTCCTGAGTTTTATCCATTTTTCTGTTTTTGAAATCTATAATTCTTTCATTAACATTGAATAAGAATCATCTCTTATTAGCCATGTCTTGTAGTTTTGTAGTTCATGATTTATAATGATTCTTGTAGTTTCATACATGTGTAGTTTTACTGTAGCTTGACTTTTTTTGTTCTTTCTTTCTTTTGTCAATGTTGTACATGTGCTTTCAACTTTGTTTACAGTACAACCGCCCCTTACAGAAGGGGAGCAGGTCTTTAGGGAACAAGCCCAAGGTACTTCCTAACCAAGCCTTATGCTCTGCCCTGCCTGCTTCTGCATCCACAGTTTTATACAATTTATTAACCCATTGGTCTCCCAGCCTGCAAGTTTTGGCTTCTGCTCTTTGAATGAAATGCAAAAAAAAAATGATATGCAAGATACACCACCACAAAATATTGTATTTACAAAATAACTGATTCTTAATCAATTATGGCAAATTGTTTTGGTAAGGTCTTTTGGAATTGTTTTCTGGAAAAACCCTAACAAAGTATTGCTTTGAAACAAATGCTTTTAATTATCATGTTTGGAATTTCCCAATTACTGCTGTTCTGTGGCTTTTGTTGTAGTTCTTTCCGTTATAATTATACAGTTACATATCTATGACATGGTTGTGACTCTGACATGTTTGCTCTGGTCCTGAACAGAGTTTTCCGGGAGGTTCTCACTCCAGCGGCAGCGGCGGCAGCAAGTCCAAACGCCCCCCTCCCATCAAACTGTCCCTGTCCCTCAACAACACGGGAAGCCTGTCATCCAACCTGATGAGTCCACCTGGAGACCAGGGAGACACAGGCACACCTACTTCATCTGCAGGTCAGGCAGTGATGCACAACAGTATACTAGTAGACAGTATGTAATGTATGTGTATGTGACTGCATGTGTGAATGAGCAAGTAGTCTAGTTAATGAATGGATGGATGCTACAGTTGCTGTAGTTCAGAGGTCACCAATCTCTCTTGTATATATCCTGAGCTCATGGGTATTGAGATCCTGGCCTAACAGTGACAGATAGCTACAAACATGTAGAGCTCTGAATCTCAAAATGCATGGGGATGTACAATCATGTAGTCCCTGTAAACTGTTTGTCCCTAAATGCACCCAGAGCATGACTCGTTACTTTAAAACTAAAAGGAAATTCTTTAGTATGCAGTGGGTTGGAAACCTTCAGTCCCTTTTACAACCTGTACTGGTGTAACAGTATTCCATCGGGTATATATCTAAATCATTCAGATTTATTAAAACAACTTGCTTTGCAAACCTGCATGAAAACTACTACTAGGTAGCAGAGGTTTGGTTACTGACTGAAAGAATACTGTAGTCTGATCAAGGAGATTAAAATTTTAGATTTTAATCCTCCTTGGTCTGATCTGTATTACTTATCTATCTAAATTCCGCTTTAGAAAGCTGCATGAGATAAGTTTCAGTAAGGTTACTGACTGAAAGAACAGTCTGATCAAAGAGATTAAAATTCTACATTTTAAACCTATCTAAATTCCGCTTTAGAAAGCCTGCATGAGGTTCACTTAGCTAGTTTCAGTAAGGTTACTGACTGAAAGAATAGTCTGATCTGTATTACTTGCGCCCTACAATGTATCTATCTAAATTCCGCTTTAGAAAGCCTGCATGAGTTTTACTTAGCTAGTTTCAGTAAGGTTACTTGCGCCCTATCTATCTAAATTCAGCTTTAGAAAGCCTGCATGAAAACTAGCTTAAGGAAGGATGCTGACTGAAAGAATAGTCTGATCAAGGAGATTAAAAATTTAGATTTTAATCCTCCTTGGTCTGATCTGTGTCACTTGCGCCCTTCAGGACTAGGTGCATCACATCCCTCCCCCACCATCTCCATGGGCGCCCCCATGCTGACCCCCACCATGGCCATGTCTCGTACCCTCGGCAGGCAGATCCCCGTCTACCCCATGCCCGGCCACTCCGTTGTCAGCCCTACAGATGGAGTAGGCACGCCACCTCTGGCCAGTTCAGGTACTGCAGACACTGCAGGCTATAAGGCTGTCCAAAGAAAATTTGAATGAAAATCTTGCTGTGATTAGCTATCCTGGTGGAAATTTTGAACAAAAAACTTGGCTGCCAAATTTGTAATTGCATGAAAACTATATTTCAAATACAGTTGAAAGACTGTCCAAAGAAATTTTACTATCTTGCTGTGATTTAATAGCTATCCTGGTGGAAATTTTGAACAAAAAGCTCGGGCTGCAAAATTTGCAATTGTAATTGCATGAAAACTATATTTGAAATCCAGGACTGGTGGAATGAATCTTTGTCAGGATTAGTTTTACTTGGAGAATTCGAATATCTTGCTGTGATCAGCTATCCTGGTGGAAATTTTGAACAAAAACTAGGGTTGCCAAATTTGTAATTGCATGAAAACTATAATTGAAATCCAATCAATATTGTTGTTTTACTTTGAGACTAACAAATTCTCTTGCCAATGTATTATCAGTACAATTATTTGATATTCACTGTTGAAAAAAATTTTTAATGGGGCTAGTCTGATGGACAAAAATCACAATTTCAAATACAGTCTATGTGTGAAACATACACATACCTGATTGTATGATATGTAGCTTTTTTGCTAGTTTAAAAGGATTCCATTATTGGATGTGTTTAAGTCTCAAATTTGAATAGTTATGTCTCATTTTGATAAGTAACCTTTAGATATGTAGTCAAGCAGTCAGGTAGCCCAACTAGCCCTCCTTTCAATGGCACCTGTATGTACATTGTACATGTATCAAGTGAATACAGCTCCCAAGTCTTATGAACAGAGTGCAAATCATAGCACTGGCACTGATATGAAAAGGAGAACAATAATTATGCTTTGCAACAGAGCCTTATCAGTGCCTTACAATGGAAGGCCATATCAGCACCTTGGAGAGGGCTGTAGCAGTGTCTTGAGTCAAAGAGCCTTCTCACTGTACCATATGGATGCCCCAAAGCAGAATGAGAGATGTCTTCTATATATATATATGTCAATGTCAACTATATTGCAAAATACATGAGCTATGTACTATTTTAGGGTAGGTTGAAGGCCTTCCAGTGCTGGATTTTGATTAGCCTCCACCAGTCCTCCCTACTGGGGTACGGATATGACTTTGGTAAAAGAGGGAAATAGTTGGCCAGGAAAGGCTGTCTGCAAGAGGGCTACACTCCCCTAGTCAATTATTCTCCCTATTGGCTAAATTTTACTTTTTTTGGAACCCGCATTGTTAGTCTGATTTTAATACCAGAACTCTGACCATTTATAACCAAGGACACATACACAATCTGTGATAAAACTTTACTACAGTAACTTCAACCTAACACGTTTCCTTCCACTTGCACCAGGAGCTGGTTTTCCCCACGGGACCATGAAGACCCCGAAGACCCCCCCACCTCTGCGGCCGGGGAGTGCCCCGGGGGCCCCCAGCGGGCAGCACTCGCTCCCCAACATCCTCAGCAGACGGCAGTCTGTACCTGAGATCACACAGGCTGGGGCACAAGGTAGGGACTCAATTTAATTCAATTCTTTATCATTATATCAACTTTGCAGACATACATGCACTACAATGTTCCCTGAATGACATTGATATTATATACATGTACTTCTAATATGAACTGTACATCCCAGACATAACAAGTACCATTCTCATTATAGAGTCTGAGGGACTGATGTAAGAAAGAGTTCTGAAGTCTCTTTGTTCTGGCTGGGGGGGATGGAGAGGGACAGTTTTCTTTTTTCCTGAATGAAGGAAAAGTAGCTGATGATCTAGACCCAGGGACAAGGTCATGTAGGGGGTGGTCGTCCAGTAATATTTGTGTGAAGAGTATTGTTCATTTGGTTTCCAGCAAGTACATTAAACAGTCATTCTTTTGCCAAACTAAAAAGCAATTTTAGGAATCATTCTTCTAGGTGCAAAGTTTTAATAAATATTCTTTCTGTAACAAATTTGTCCCCTAGGTTCAGTTAGTATGACCAGCTCCAAGGTCCCCACACCGAGTGGCACCCCAACTGGCACCCCCACAGGGACACCCAAGCCTGGAGACGCCCCTCCCACACCCTCCACTGTCCCCACACCAACCTCGGAGACTCTGCCTATAAACATCATTGGAACCATGGGCCAGGCAGGAGGGATAGTGCCCACTATCTCTGTAAGTATCATTTCTCTTCATACATAAATGGAATGGAACACATAAAAGCTATCAATGGAGTGTCAATGACATTACAGCAGACGTTTTATTAGCTGTAGGAACCTACATTGTTGTATTTATTTTTACTCAAATACCGTAATATTCTGCTTGTCACCAGCACTGGATTTTCTTTTTTGTTGTTATTTGCTTTGTCTGCATTTGAGCAGGATAATTATTATGATTTTTTTTACATACAAACAAGCTTTGCAGGTAATGAAAAAAGGACTGCATTTTGGGTCCACCTAACAGCTTTTTTTGTACTGCAGCTTCCCTCTACACTGAGCATTAAAAGGCAATATGTTTTGGAGCACACTATGCTTCTCTTGCAGAAGTTTGCGCTTTTTCATGTCAAATGATGGCACATACTACTCATACAGCTACCGCCTTGCCACTGGTGTCCATTGGGTACTGTCCAATGGGTACTGTCTGGCTAATGGATACTGCCTGCCCAATTTGATACTGTCTTTTGTGGCCACCGAAAGATCTGCTTGGAGATTAACATATTCAATTTACTACTTTCACCCCCTACATCTAGACCACTACCTCCGGCGGCCTGGTGTCCATGCGGATCCCCATGTGTGTTACCATGGTGAGTGGCACGCCCACTGCCGTGGTCACCACGCCTTCAGGGGTCATCACCACACCCATCAACCTGAGTGGGGCGGGGCCGGGCATCATGACAGGAGCCATCAACATCATTGGTGGCACCCCGATAGGTACATGACATGGTATATTACATGTACATGGATATAGGGGTTTTCTTTTACACAACCAATATTGTCTCTTTAACTCTCTTATCTTCCTTACATTTCGGTGTCTATCAGACACCTTCCTCAGAGCCTCAGCATAGCTTCTCGATGCTATATGTAGCTGATGTAGGTCGCGCTTTTGCAGTGAGAACACAATCCCCTTGTGTAAATGATAACCCTATATCCTATACTCGACCAACCTGATGAAACTATTTTCGGATGTATATTACATGGTAGCAGTTTCTTCAAGTTAGGGATCATCACAAATCCTTTACCTTTGCCAAGAAGGTCATGTTATTGGAAGAATTGTTTGTAACAGTATAGCAGTGTTTGTGGTTGAACAGCATAACTCAAAAAGCTCTGGATGGATTGTTATGAAATTTTTATGTTTTTAGGTCTTGACTTACCGGTACTAAAAACTACTGTAACATTAGATTTTGGACCTCCTGGCAGCTTTCCTCAACACCGAAGCAAAATTTGAGGTAAATTACTCTTTAGACAGAGCACATCAGTGTTTGGTGACACCTCAGGGCTGGCGCCATTTTGTAATGTCAACTCATTTGTTACCCCTGCCTTTGTCCCCCAGGAGGCAGTATCTCCTCCTCCATGCAGGGCACAGCTGCCAGTAGTCAGCAGGTGACTGCAGCACCCATCAACATCAGTGCAGGTAAACACCTACATCAGGCACACAATACTGACAACACAACATGCTGTATCTGAAAATGTCAGTGATATTTTCTTCAGATACACCATGTTGCAGTACTGTCACATATTTTACAAGTACACAAGTCATTAATGACTATTATAATATAGGTAAGTCTAGCAGTGCCCCTGCTGGTACCCAGTTGATACACTATACTATACTACTTGTGTTTCTATTGAAAGCATAGCAAATACCAGGCCCCCAATATCAGTGTCTATTTATTTTCCTGTGTTTCCCTGAGTAAATACATTGACCCATGAGTCTTCAAAACCAGTGTTCACCACCATCTTCCAGCATACAGTGTACCTCTCAACCAGTGACCAGAAGTGGCCTTGAACAACTCAATTATAAAAAAAAAAACAATCAAGCATTGCCAATTTGTACATGATGTTAATTATTTTGTTCTCTCTGGCATTGTTGTACACCAGGTATGGCAGCACCACAAGGAGACTCAGTGGCTCCATGGTCAATCATTTTGACTAGTGTTTAAAGCAAGGCATTCTGCTTTGTTGTTACTTTGCCTGTTTGCACATGTTGTTGATTGTAATGTTATGTTTCTGTCATTGTTTTACACCAGGTATGGCAGCAGCACAGGGCATCAACCCAGCCCTGGCCCCCCAGTTCCTGGCCACAGGTCTGAAGAACACACAGGGTCTCCGCCCAGGGACCGCTCCTCTATCACTCCTACAGGTGAGAACACCACAGGAGTGGCTCAGTCTATTATCAAACAATAATTTCAGTCCAGTGTTGTGTAGACAAGGCATTATGCTTTATTGAAAAGTTTATAGCAAATTCAAGGTAATTGCAAATTACAAAACATAAAAGAACTTCAATGAAACGGTACAAAATAACTAAAGTCTACATGGTAAAGGTATTCGCTGATTATGTAGTGACCATTTTGGAGTCTGCTTTAAATTAGAGAGTTGTGTCTGTGAAGGTTAGACATCCAGGTAATACCGGTAAGATACACCAAGAAACAGTTACTCAATCAACTTTTCAAAATCATCCAATTGCTTGAGTAACTAACTGTTTTTTTGGCATAGAGAGTTGTATTGTTTAAGAATGCCAATAAATGGAAAAGACATAGAGTCAGACAAGAATCATGTCTCCAGTGCATGTACATGTCGTTTCCAGTCTTAATAAGGATACTAGAATTTAGTCTATCATGAAAGTCCATCTGTGTTGGTAGTCACATGTTTAAAGTTACAACTTTGGATCCAACACAAAAAGTTCTCTCACCTAGAGCTTTCAACCAGTTAGTTGACTGAGGAAGACTAGAGTGACTGGTTTGAAGTTCTAGGTGAGAGAACAAAGATTTAACTTTAAACATAGGATTTAGTCTATTGTTGATTAAAGAAGAGACCACTGTCAACATGAGCAAGATCGACACAACAATCAGAAAAGTGTCACCTGTTGACTCTGTTGTCTGTCTGTCGACACCCTGTAGCACCTCCCCAGTGGTAGCCTGGGTGTGCGCGTGCCTGCGCCACAGTTCGCTACACCCTTGGTCCCCGGGCAGACCCCCCCGCCGAGACACCAGGTGATGGACCGTCCCTCCTCGGACGTTACGATGGACGGCTTTGCAATGTCAGGGCAGATCAGAGGAGGGTTTCAATCATAATCTGTTGCGGAAGATTACATCAGATTTCAGAACAAATTGGATGATGTTATATGAGGAGTTGTACAGACAAAATATGAAAGAATAGCATTGTTTGCACCTGATGTATCGTCGAAAAGTTTTGCAAAAAATTTAAATCTAAAGAAGCCGACATTCTCACAAAAGTTCCATTGCAGTGATCATGGAGGTAAAAAAAGACCTCCATGCAGTGATGTAGGGACCCCCACGAGGCCCATTTACGAACTTGACCTTGGTCTTCCCAACATTAACCTGCCTGCCAAAAATCATGAACAGCGAACTATGCCTTCAAAAGTTATGCCGCATAGTCTACCACACTATAGCAAAGTGATTTCATAGCCTTCTCGGCGAAGGCAAAAAATAGTTAAGAACAGGTTCAAATTCCGTAAGGCAGCTACATAGTTTACTGTCCTCCAAATAAGTGACTCTAATCAACACTAATCATTTTTTGGAGGAGAGTGAAGCATCTTTTTCTCAAGTGTGAGCAATATTTTTTGGGAGGAATGGCTACAATATATATCTATTAAAAGAGCAGGCTTATTTGCACCAAAAGGCTGGGTAATCGAGGGAGTGGGCAAAATTAAGTGAAGAATACACTGAGGTTGTAGAACAGTTTTTGTATTGCTTTTCAAAGTCATGCTTTATACTTTAGACTAGTATTCAGTCATTGCAGCTGTCACATAATGATTTTATAAGCCTTGTAAACAAAATGAAAGGACAGTTATTTTGCAATTGTATTAATTTTTTACCTCATTGGAAGCCAGGAAGAAAAGTGTTGAGTTGAAAGTCCCTCCCTATGTGCCCTGACATGGTAGCCAGGTTTGCCCCCATAACAGCCTCATCCTTGGACCAATCATCATGCTTGCTTGCTTGGTTAAAACAGAAGTGTCTGTTTATTCAGTGATGCCTTAAAGACTGACATTATTATGTGACTAATCTATAAAGGTTCAGGGTTCCAACTGACATTTTAAAGGACGTTGAACGGTTTGATACGTTAGGAGTCATTGTTGTGCTAAAGCATGTACATGTTCCCTTTTTTGTTTGTGGCAGTTGCATTCTTCAGCTATTTGATAATCTTGACTTGTTTCCTTTCTAATGTATAACTAAGTCTTACACATACATTTGACCAGAAATGTATATTTGTGCATTATGTTTGAGCCTTTGTAAATGTTTTGGATGTTGGATGTCTTTTCTGTGGTACAAAAATGTCAGAGTGGTTGAAATACATGACTGTCATGTATGTTGCTAAGGCTGCACATGTAAGTGTGCATCCCTACTTTTTAAATTGAAATGTTAGTCCACAGAAAAGAAGAAAATTTTGCAACCAAAACAGGTTGTTGATAATAACAGGCCACTTATAAAGGCTATGATATAATTTGACACAACATTATGAAGCAGTTTAAACTGTAATTTCCAACAAAAGAGATTTGGACTTACCAAAATGTTTGACCATGCAACTCCGGTCTTCGTCAAGCAACTTACAAAGACTGGAGTTGCACAGTTGAAAATTTGGATAAGTCAAAATCTCTTTGTGTTGGAATTACATTCTAAACTACTCCATAATGTTGTGTCAAATTTTGCCCTTACATCATAGCCTTTATAGTGTTATTACCAACAACCTGTTTTGGTTGCAAAATTTTCTTCTCTTTTTGTGGGACTAACATTTTAAACTGCTTCATAATGACTTCTACCAAGTTGTGAACACAGATGAACTTTCAAGATCAGACTTGACGCAACATTGTTCATTTCAGGTGCAGGGGCAACAGCCGCAGCTGATTCCCTTCAACCCGCAGGCGCTGCAGGGCCGCCCGCTGAACCAGGCCACTCTGCAGCAGCTGCAGGCGGCGCAGGGCCAGGCGGCGCAGCCGCAGCAGATCCAGCTCAACGCGCAGCAGCTGCAGCAAATCCAGCAGTTCCAGCAGCAGGCCCTGCAGCAGTCGCAGCAGCAGTCAGTTCAATTCAATTCAATTCAATTTTTCAATTCAATTTTATTGAAACTTTTTTTTTATTGCATGTTCATTCCCCGGGGGGATAAATGCATGGATGTACAGAGTACAATGTACTGGAGAGTTCTACAACAATAGTAATAAAGAAAGGCTAACATCAGGTCTAAGATATACAGTGCTAAAAATAAAATAAAAAAGAAATATATATATAAGTGGTATTGATCTAAGTTCTAATGGCTTCTTCTCTCTTTTTGAAACATTTTGAAATATACTTACATACTTCATTGATGACGTCTATATTTGTACATGATATAATATATTTAAAAGTGTCTTTATTAAGAACAGTCAACATAGCAGGGGTACACAGTACTCCTGAATTGTGTGGACTTTACATAAGTATAAGAAACGCACAAGACAATTACATACAAGAGTGGGACATAAAACACTAGAACACTAGGTTTGCATTTAGCTACTGTACAGTCTAATTGTGCAGTGGAGGAACGAGTTGTACAGTCTGTTTGTCCGTGCCTTGGGCACCATGATTCCCCCAGAGTTCCTCAAACACCTCCCTGTGCTGTCCGACCTGGCTCCTGGTACCAAATCATGTAGTGGGTGGTCAGGGCTGAGCATATACTTGAACAGCTTGACAGCCGCAAGTTCACGTCTTTCCGCAAGTTCAGTTTATTACGATACCCTTTAGCCCGTTAGGGCTAATCTTCCAGGGCTCATTTACACATTACACACACACAGTACAAATATACACATATGACTACAAATTTACATACATGCTGAGGTCACACGTCAGACAAGGTACTAATTATAGCTAAAATCATAAAACGAGCAAATTATCGGCTAAGTGTAAAACTAATATTACCATTACTAAAAATTTCAATATAACAACTATCATCATAATTAAAACCATTAAGTTGCATACATATACAATTGATCGATCAATCTCTTCAACCGCCTCTCATCGGATACAGCCTTAACCTCATTTGGTAGTGCATTCCACATCTGTAGGTAAACATCTTCTTTCCACTGTTATTCTTAGGTCCTCCCCGCAGCAGGGCGCCGCAGGGGCAGACCAGCCGCAGCAGAACCAGCAGATTCAGCAGAGCTTGCTGCAGCAGTTCCAGCATCAGCAGCTGCAGCAGGCTCTCCTACTGCAGCAACAGGTGGGAAAACTGTTTACTATTACTAGTAATTGTCGTAAACAATAAAAAAAACTTCACTCTTTTGTTTGTTTTCTAAGAAATTTAGCAAGGCAACATGAAAAAAGTACTAGCGAGGTGACAGAATCCAATGTTTATTATATTTACTCTCTGCTATGGCTCTCCTACTGCAGCAACAGGTGGGAAAACTGTTTCCTATACATTGTCGTAAACAATAAGAAAATTTTCAGTCTTTTGTTTATCTCTGTCGGTTCTTGGAAATTTAACAAAAGGCCAACATGAAGACAGTTTTAATGATGTGGCAGAATCTTACGTTAACTATATTCAGTCCCTGACCCTTTCAATCCAAGAATCAACAAATTACTAGTAGATTGGTGTGGACTGAATTATAAAGTTTCTGTGAAACATGACTTGGCCTTGTACATCACGGCTGCCAGTCATGCTGTTGTTGATACAAATAAACCAAATAAACCAGTAAACAACAGTGTTGTACACATAGCTTGATGTTTATTTATACATTCATATTATTCACTTGTCACACATGAAATCATCTTTCTGTCCTCTGCTCTAAGACATTATAACCCCTAGACATACATGTACATTCTGTACCTTTCTCCTTTCCTGCTATATATTACCCATGCTAACAGTCACACATACACATGTACTAGCAGCAGCCTGTTAGCCCCACCCAAGGTGTTACCAGTTCCCAGGTGCCAACTCCCCCTCCTCCCACACCCCCTGCAGTGTCTCAATCCACAGGAGGGGTAAGTCTACACACTACTGACACTACCTAGCCTCTACCAGGCACCACGGATCACTGGAAAAATAGTAGAAATTGACCAAAATAAGTACTATACCAGGGGAGGGTACATTTTGTCTTTAATCAGAGAGGGTGCATTTGTTGCAAAATGTATCCTCTCTGGCCAGCCAACTCCCCTGGTATAGTACATGTATTCTCTTTATTTTGGCCAATTTCTACTATTTTTCCAGCGATCTCTGGTGCCTGGTAGAGGCTAAACACTACCATCCACCCGACAACACAAATAAACACTCTCAGTGTAAAAATAAAAGAAGTGAAACCCATTCCAAGTTTAGTGTCATCCAGTATTAGTTTTAGACTGTGTTCTGACCGGAAATGTGTATGTTCCAGGGCATTCAAGGTCAAATGCAGCAGCTGCCCCAAGGTCAGCAGCAGCTGGCGCCCATGGGTTACCAGAAGCCACCGTCGTCCCTCACTGTACAGCAGCAGCTGCAGCAGAGCATTCAGCAGAGGCAGACGTCGAAGAGCAAGAGTCGCAAACGCACCACCCCAACACCTCCCAAACAGTCTTAAGCTCAACCAAATAGTACTAGGCACTACCAGGCAGTTCTAGGCACTACCGAACCATCCTAGGCACTATGGAACAGTTCTAGGCACTACCCAACAGTCTTAAGCATGACCAAATAGTACTAGGCACTACCATACAGTCCTAGGCACTACCAGGCAGTCCTAGGCAGTACCAGATAGTCCTAGACACAACCAGGCAGTCCTAGTCACTACCAGGCAGTCCTAGGCACTACCAGGCAGTCCTAGGCACTACCAGACAGTCCTAGGCACTACCAGACAGTCCTAGGCACCACCAGGCAGTCCTAGACACTACCAGACAGTTCTAGACACTACCAGGCAGTCCTAGGCACTACCTGTCAGTCTTAGGCACTACCAGTCAGTACTTGACACTACCAGGCAGTCCTAGGCACTACCAGGCAGTCCTAGGCACTACCAGACAGTCCTAGGCACTACCAGTCAGTACTTGACACTACCAGGCAGTCCTAGGCACTACCAGGCAGTCCTATGCACTACCTGGCAGTCTTAGGCAATACCAGGCAGTCCTAGGCATTATCAGGCAGTCCTATGCACTACCAGGCAGTCCTAGGCCTAGGCACCACCAGGCAGTCCTAGGCACTACTGAATCACCCTAGACTTGATCAAACAGTTCTAGACACTACCCAATGGTCTTAAGCACGACCAAATGGTGCTAGACACTACCAAGCAGTCCTACAAGTATTGTAGGCACTACCAAACAAATAGTCATGGGCATTACTGTACAGTATAAGGCACTACCAAACTGTCTTAGGTCCTCAAGTACGAGGTTGTCATAAATGTTGTGAAAAACACAGTGTAGAACAGTCAAGAATACACATTTAAGACAGAAGACAATATGACATGTCAGTGTTGCCTCTTTGGGGCAGTGAAGCAAAATGTTGCTATCCAACAATTTTTTATCATGAAAATTACATGTACTTAGTAGATGGCAAAAACAGAAGAAGAGTTTCTAGATGATACTAGCATACAGTATTTAAAATCAGAGCATTGTACTTGGCTAATGGTTTCAATCCATGTAACAATTGTCAACATTGTGTAATGTCTCATTTCTGTCATCAAACTTTTAGGATAGAAAATCTGAATGGTTGGTAGTTACAGTCACATTTAACCATAGATTTGTGCCTGTATAATAGGAAGAAAAATGTTTTTCCAATTTCAAGGAGTAATCTTGTATGCCTACAATGTATTTTAGCAAGGTCTGCAGAGCAATTGCAGGCGGCATGTTGTCATGTATTTATGAATGCTGTATTTAGTTCCATCAATATTTGTATATTATACATTTGTACCAAAGCAACGTGTTGTGTTTGTTGTGTTTTCTCTTGAATTTACATCATATAAATTATAGGGAAATCCTTCATAGTTTAAACCAAGGACAAGACTGTGTTTCATGCTTTTTGGACCCAAACATGCCCAAGAGCAGCCTAACACCCAAAATTTGTGAGACTAGCATGTCCAGATCAGGAGATATCTAAACCAGAAGTTCGGCTGCAACTGTTATGCAAGTGTAGGGTCTCAGTCCACATGGCAGTGGGGACCCCTAACTACTGAAGTAATTATTGCATGTCGATTGTAAACGATTAATACTCGAATGCTGTGAGGTGTTGTTTGGAATTTTGTTTTTGCTGCAGTACTGAAAGCAATTAATAGAGGCTGCTTTTGATCCATGGAACAGAAAGAATCTTGGTACACTTTTTCACAATTCACAAGTGCCCAACTCAATACACATAGGCAATCAAAGATAGAAAACTTCACCCTTCTTGCCAGTACATCGGTTAACAATATAAACCTTGGATGGCGTATTGGACCCTCTCTGGTCAATGGATGCCCCCTGGCCAATTTGATACTGTCCTTTGCCACCCTAGGATCTGCTTGGAGATGTGATATTAAAACAGGCCATCAATACTTGTATATAGAGCTGTGTACCGGTACGCAGTACCGATACTGTACCGGAAAAATTGATTAGGTACAGGTCCAAAATACCTACTCCCTCAGTACCGGTACTGTACCTAAACAATTTCACACCAATTTTATGCCTATTTGTGACCTCAAATGTGTATAAAGGTGGTTAACAATGGGTCCCTGTGTAAGGACAGCGTGTTCATGAAAACAAAACACTTAGTTTTGCCTATATTTTATCTGAGCATTCGCCATAAACAAAGAATAAACCTTAACTATCAAGTTTATTTATGTTTTTTTTGTTATTGAAGGAGTTCAGAAGACCATATAAATTGGTCGAATTGTTCAGGTACAGGTTCAGGTCCGGACCTGTACCTAAACCTGTGTACCTGTACCTGTACCTGTACCTAAAATTTGTTTAGGTACACAGCTCTACTTGTATATCATTAAATGTGAAGTTAATCATCTCAACTCCTATGGGAACATAAGATTCACCTCATCTCATCTCATAGGAGAACTGAAGGCTATACAAAAATGTTGTTTGTACATTAATATTTATTACAAAACGGCAGTACCCAGAGTCGGTAATCTCCAAGCAGATCCTGGGGTCTCAAAAATATCAAATTGGGCAGGCAGTATCCCATTGGCCAGAGAGGGTCCATGCGCGACCCAAGGTGGGGATAGCGACAAAAAATGGGCCATATATAAAAAGCTAACGATCATTCCCCCACAACCTCTGCTTGGGGAGAGAAAGTCGGATGGTATGCAAAGCTGCAAAGTTGAAGGTTTACCCGCCAACCACCTGCCGATTTAGATCAGTACTGCAGCCGCCAGCTATGTATCCCGTGGACATAATTTCAATGCGAGCAGACACAGACAGACGCGAGACAGCATTTTTCACACCTGAGTAATCTGAGAAGGGTAGTTTACCTGTCTAGCGTGACACATTCCCGTCTGCAAACGTGGGCACGATTGCGTAACCCACCTAATGATGCAAGATGGTGAAAGCTTCAACTTCCTACAAGCGAAATTAATCTAATTAACATATTCAGTACACCAAAAAATACCGAAACTTTGACACAGGACTTAAGTTGAGAACTGAAGTCTTTTATTGTTCATTCATTTGCCAGACAATGAAATATATCCGCGCAAAGTATTCGCAATTGATTGAGAAACGGTGTGATGACGTCACTGGTCAACACACGCACATGTGGAGTGAAGGAAAAATGGCGTCGTGTGCGCCAGTTGTGTAAAGTTATTTATCTGGCGAAACTTCGTGTTCCCACACAGTATGTGAACGTCTTTCACTGTAATTTGAATTCGTTTTAGATTAGTGAAAGTTCTTAGTTTGTTTTGGTTGAAGCCATGTCCGTGGTACGGGGTAGGAAGTCGCCGAAGGCGGAGTCCCTTCAAGCCATGGACGAGTATCTGTCCTCCCTCGGCTTGGTTAGGAAACCTATCGCCAAGGACGGGTCTTGCCTTTTTCGTGCCGTAGCCGAGCAAGTGAGTGTTTACCCATGCCTTCTGCTGATGTTTACTTTGTCTACAGATTATGGGCATTACGTCGCAGCATGTTATGTAGGCGGAACTGCGTGTTTACGTTATTTTTGCAGCGAGGAAAGTGTCAACCAGCTCGCTTTGTTTTTAGGTGTTCCATTGCCAAGCGCGCCATCTTGAAGTGCGGGAGAGATGCATACGGTACATGGACAGACATAGGGACATTTTTGAAGCGGTAAGTGTCCAAAAATTATCGTCGACAACTTCCTGCTCCTGTCAACATTGTTTGTTTACAAAACGTCGTTTGTTGCGGTCGTGAAATCTACGCCTGGTAGGTTTGCTTGCCTATGCAAGCTATTAGAAGGAGGCGTGACCTCTTTTTATCATGACCACACACCGTTCTTGTTCTGTTGTGTACGCAGTTTGTTCCTGGC